GAAATTCACAGGTAGCAGCCAGCGTTGCTGACCACCTAGGGTGCACTAGACTCCATGCTAAATAAGGACTGTGCGAGTATCCTTTTGTCTTCACAATCACCCTCGGAGGCATATTTATCCTCCTTGCATCAGCCTTCTGCTCCACCCGATTGTGGACCATTCCCTCCAAAACACCTTGCACAGTCAAATCTCCACGTTGGTCTTCCTTTCAGCCCCCAAAGGCTGCAGTGACCTTCCACCGGCTCCCGGTTAGATTTCCTTCGACCCACCCTCCCAAGGCTTTTCCAGTGTCATCAGTGCTGCTAAGTGTTTCATGCAGTCCAACTCAAAATTGATCATTTCCTCTTCAGCACTCACCCAGCACCAAGCAATCAAACAAAAGCATCTCGGAGATGAGGGCTCCACAGTGCACTTGGAGGCTGCTGTAGACCTCAAGCTGTTCCCCTCTATCTCTGAATCTCCCCTAGGTGATTCTCAAAGCCCTTCCATTGAAGGAATTCTCCCCTCCAAATTCATAAAATAAGCACTGAAAGAGAAGCTACCTCAAGGTTGTAGGAAATTAGCTTCGTGCTCGCTGAGCATCAGATTTGTTAATTCCCTTCCATTCTCTCTCCACACCACCCTGGAATCTTTTTTCTGAATGCTGCACCTGGTTTCATCTTCTAAACTTGACCTCTGTCCACCAAAGGAGAGCAGCCTATTACCCTATAAAAGCCCGTTAATATTGGACCTCAAGTTTTTCTTTCCATTCAAGTGTTCCCTAAAGTTCTCACTAAACCAAGGTAAAGGTAAAGGCCCTCCCGTTGATCATCGATTTGCTCGAGCGGGCCCAGTAACGTCTCCATTGGAGACTTAGTTGTTACTGTGTTTGGCATATCGAATACATCACGAGTGGCTTGCCAGGCTCTGCCGTGTGAGCAAGAGACTCTCGGTCTCTCGGTAGCTTTCCGGGCTCTCCGAGAGGGGCAGAGGAATCGAACTCGGGTCGGCCGTGTTGGCTGCGTGCAAGGCAAACGCCCTACCGCTGTGCTATCGCTCCTCGCCCGCACGGCAGAGCCTGGCAAGCTCCCCGTGACGTATTCGATATGCCAAACACAGTAACAACAAAGTCTCCAATGGAGACGTTACTGGGCCCGCTGGAGCAAATTGATGATCAACGGGAGGGCCACTAAACCAAAACCAGCACAAAGGAGAAAACTGATTCTTTTTTACTACTTTTCATAGTATCCAGTGTAATGCCTGGGACAGAGAAGGTGCTTTACAAATCCTCGGTGAATCATGAACCCTCTCTTTCTTTTTATTTATTTTTGGGGGTCACACCCTGTGATGAACAGGGGTTACTCCTGGCTCATGCACTCAGGAATTACTCCCAGTGGTGCTCAGAGGACCATATGGGATGCTGGGAATCGAATCCAGGTGTCAACTGCGTGCAAAGCAAATGCCCTACCCGCTGTGCTATCGCTCCAGCCCCCCCCTCTTTCTTTTAAAAGGAGCCCCAAATCTCTAAGAGAGGGATTAGCAGAGCTTGCTTTCTCTAGTTTGTTGAACTTGGACTAGTTTCTCTTCAATAATCAGTTGAATTATGTCTGTCCCCCCAACCACGACTAATCACCTTGACATTTACACCCCACTTCTCTTGTCGTGTACTTACTTTTATAAAAATCTCCTGCACTGGAGAAGGGGGGAGGGAAAAAGATGAAACCGAGCCTACCTTCTCTTGCATACCTAAGAGATCCTTCACTTTCTGCCAGACCTTTTCCAAAACCTCACCCAAAAGGAGATTAGCTCTGCAGACCTGCTGGCATGAAGAGGCCCTCCATTCATTTTTCTCCAGCCTTCACCTCCCTTCCTAAGCTGTAGCCAAGTATCACCTCTCTTGCTAATCCTGTGCAGTGTGTTTTAGGATTCCTCTCCACAACCTTCATGATGTTTTCATGTTCAGGTACTAAAGTTGGACATAAAAAGGGGGGGATTAAAATAATCTATTCTACCATGGATTTCTGCAGCTTTCCACAGCTTAGAGTTGGGGTGCATGTTCCTAGCTGAACTGATTTACTATGGATTATGGACACAGGGCCATGTTGGAAATGTCATGTTAATGTCTAAGTTTGTGGGATGCACATTTTTCTTTTCATTGACATCACTTAGGTTGACAGGGGTTCACTTCATACCTCAATCTCTATGTAATACGTCTCCCTCCAGAGAAGCCCCAGTGTCTTGTTTCCATGTATTTTAAATTTTTTTGCAACAAATACATTGGAATTAGCCTCAGCTCCCCTAATTCACTCACTGATTTGGATGCAGCCACGCCTGTGGGCTGGCTGCACGGACGCAATTGGGTACCTAGAAAGAGAGAAGCAAGCTACAGGAAGCTTGCACCCAGGTGTCTCCTGCATCCTTGATGGAATTCTCAACATTTCCTCTCTGGCACAACTGGGTGCTGCAATTTGCACAGATGTAGACAATTTCCCTTTGAAATGTGAAAGTTGGCTTCCAAAGTTTCTCATGCCATTGTGGACACAGATGACAGCTCAATGAGAAGTTAGAAACATTCAGGAGTTTATACCAGGGTTTCCTTGCTCAGGCAAACTCTTTTCAGAGCTCATAGCACTGGGGAACAAAACGGGGCTTTGCTGATGGGCTGGAGTAGGTATCCCCTGCGGAGTTGGCCACCAGACGCTGGATGTTCTTCTCTACACCTCTTCTTCCTTTTGCAACAGCAGAACCCCTTGGAGAGGGAACAATATGTCCACTGGAAGGGGACAAAGAGACTATAAAAAGCAGATGTTCTCCCTCACCCCAACCCCCATGTGTAGGTTGAGCACCCGTCCAGTTAGGTGAAAGGAACATGACAGTGCAGGAGACACCTTTGGCGATGCTACCTCTTCAAGGAGCACGTGTGTGGGTGTTAAATGGCCCTGAAATGAAAGGGCTGCCCCTGCCACCCCAACCTGTCAGACATCTCTCTGGTGAAAGACAGCCTTAGAAAAGCCACACACTAGACTCAGATAAGGCGATCAAATGGGAGCTTTACAGAGTTTGACCGGCTCCAGGCAGTGAAAGCAAAAGGAAACTTGGCCTTGGCTCTCTCACATCCTTTTCAACTGACTTTACAAGAGGACGGATTTCTTTCCCTGGGAATTGGGGACATTGGCTCCCTGGGGACTCAATTTTAACTTTCCTTGACTCCTGGCCACCAGAAAGCCAGATTCCCCTAAACATACTAGTTGGAGAAAGCAGGGGGAAGAAAAGGAAAAGGTGAGAAATGGATTACATTCTGAAAGAAGTAAGCATGTGCCTATGAGACTATTTAGATTATTTTACACTGGGACCCCCATTTGCCACTTGCCAACTTGTACCTATATTTGTTGCTCTTCTTGGGAGGGGCACGTGCACACCTATTGATGCTCAGAGGTTATTCCTGGCTCTGCACTCAGGGATAACTCCTGGTGATGCTCAGGGGACTGTATGGGACGCCAGGTATCAAACCCAGGTCAGCTGTGTGCAAAGCAAGGGCCTTACATGCTACACTATCTCTCTAGCCCCTGCTGCTCTAGGAACTGAAAATAGAGGTAGAAGTACAACTGTGGAAGATGAACCAATACCATTGCCAAACGCCCCAAATAAGGAAACTGTACCCTCCCCAATGGATTCTCTCCTGAATGATTTCTACTCTAACAGAATGTGAATTATGAAAGAACTCCCTTCACCCACCCCATATAAGCACCTCTACTTCTTTCTCAATATCCAGAAATTCTCCTAACTACTTGCTCTCTGCTTCCCTGCCCAACCCTCATAGAAGAAGGACCATTTAGGTATCCTCTATCCTGGAGATTCCTAACTCTCCTACTTATTCAGGGCAAAAGGACCTTAACTAAACTGATGACCCGTTCTTGTGTTTGTTATTTGGTATTGTTACTTAGTTTGGGGGAGGTCACATGCAGCTGTGCTTATTTTTGGCCTTGCACTCAGGAATCACTCCTGGTGGGGGCTCTGAGAACCATATGAGATGCTGGGGCTCCAACCCAGCTCTGGACATTCAAGGCAAGAACCCTTCCTACTGTAGTATCACTCTGGCCCTCTTGTGTCTATTATTAACTCTACATGAAGAGAGTCTTAAAATCCAGGATCGCATAAAAGCATCAAAAGAATAGAGAAAATGGAGCTTAACTATCCAATTTATGAGTAAATTGGTAACTGCTTCTTCCACAGGAGGTGGTTCTGGTACCAAAAAAAAATCAGTTAAAATCTTCAAAGAGGAAGATGTGACAAGGAAACATGTCCATGTCCGAACTCTTATTTGTTGTTCTTTCTGCTATTCCCACATTTCACCATCTAATCTTTCCCAGCACTAAGTACTCTGTACCTGATACAGTGTTCATAGACTAATTATCCAGAATGTGTAGCATTTTTTTATTCAGTAATCTTTCAAACTTCAGATTTTTTATAAAAAAAATTGTTTTGAATTACACTAATAATATTGTTTTGACTGGTTACACTGAAACTCTAGAGAAGTATTTTTCATCCAGGAGAAGTTCTTAAATCTTGGTTCCAGGAGACCAGGACCATCTCATGAACTGGAACTTAGTGGCCCCATGAGCTGCAGAGAACTATGCAGAGCTCAGCAACAGACTATCTCCACCACACACTTTGCCCACCTCACCTGCTCAAGATTTCATCTCTCTCCCAGCTGAGGTGTAATGGTAGAACATGTCTTGCAGTAGAAAAATAACCAATTCCGAGGACAGAGTTGAATTCTGTGCTTGCTACATATTCCTTTGCTGCCCTCGGCTATGGTTTTGCTAGTTAACCAACTCATGGCCAACATAATCTTCTAAACTTGGTTCTCTTGAATTAACTGATTGTTCTCTATATGCTGCATGTGCATTGAAGGTCTTATTCAATACTGTTATCAAAAAAATATAGACCAGATTCTCCAGATCTAGGGGTACAACAAGAGAAAGACACTCCCGGCCTCACTACCTTCTTCCTTTCCACAGATTCGAAATGTGGCAGCCAACCTCTGCATTGACAGCAAGCACGGGGCCACAGGGACCGAGCTGAGGCTGGACATCTGTGTCAAGGATGGATCTGAGAGGACATGGTCTCATGAGCAGGTGGGGATGTCACTCCCGAAAAATCATGGGAAGTGGGGTGGGAGGTGCTGAGACAAACACGAGGTTCTCTACCTGGGAGGCCGGGGGATGATTCAAATAATCTCACTAACCAGCTCTATGCTGAAAGACATGCTTAGTCTCTGTTTCTCCTGGGAGCAGTTGTGGAACGTGTGCTTTAAATAATGGGAAGGGAGAGGGGTCGCAGTGAATACAGCAGATCTGGTGTTTGCCTTACACGTGGCCAAACGCTTCTATCCTCAGCACCCCATATGGTTCCCCAAGCCCACCAGGAGATAACCCTGAGCCCAGAACCAAGAGTAAGCCCTCAGCACCACTGGGTGCAGCTCCCAAACAAAGAAAATAATAGGAAGGAGGTTTGCTCTTCCGCGCATTTCACTTGCCTTTCTCTATGTCTCTGCTTTTTCCACTCTGGAGAAGTCTGTTTTCTTCTCTCTTGAACACATATTTCTTCTCTTTTTTTCTCCACACTCCTTTCTGAGTAAGTTTCAATCAAAAACGATCTTGCTTCACCAAAATAAATAAACTGAAATAAAAGGATGTAAAAAGTATTGATTGTGACCCTGATCGTCTATTTCCCTTCCCAGAATCATCATTTGCAAGGACAGTCCTGTGGAGGACCCTGGCTCTGCCTACAGAATTCGTGCTTTATCTTTCTTTTCATGGAAGGCTCTTTGTTCTCTAAGTCTGGGGGACTTTCAAAATCTTATTTTCTCCCTCTGCACTCCATTGAAAAGAATGAATACATTGCCTATTCCTCTCACGGCAGTAGCTTAGAATCTTACACATAAAGGATAACTTTGAACCAATAATACTCTGATATCCGTGGGGTGCTTTTAGACTACTTATTGATTTTGACTGAAAAGTATTTCCATTCAAGTCAGTTACTGAGTGAGGTGAGGTTCCTGACACACTTGGAAACTTCCATTCCTGGTAAGAAATGCTCTCCTCATTCCCTGGGACCTGCCAAGGAGAAAATATAGAATTGTGTCCTCCTCTTTTTAGTGTTTTAATTTTACACCATGGAGTATTTCAAATAGGAAATGCTGTGCTTATTATAACTGGTGTGTACACTGAGCCCAGAGAATTCATGCAGCTCTATAGCAAGCACCAGAATTTTGTAAAAAGAATAAAATCTACAGGTCCAGTGAAAGCCTCTGCCCTGTCATTTCCTCACCTCCCCTGCTATTTCCCAAGTTCGGTACTGTGTGTCCTATCAGTGTTTTCTGTTGCCTAGCATTGTCCTGGAAAATTAAAAATGAGGAGACAAGTCATCAAGCACAGTGTCACTTATCGCCACCTCTTTCCCGACTTTAAATGTTAAGCGTTAAATGAGTGAAGAATAGTTGTTCAGAGACCTTAAAGAGTTATCCAGAGACACTGAAAACTAGCCATTGGCAATTCCCTCCCCACCCTCACCTTGATCCCAAGCCCCATGTCCTCTTCTTCCTGTGCCACACAGCAGCCTAACTCAGGAGAGACGATCTAGTTCGGGTCCCTGGTCCGGTCCACAAGTAATTCAACCCACCATGGAATCAACATTTCTCCTCCTCTGGTGGTTGAGCTGGTCCTTGGGTGCTTATCCCACAGTCTCTTGGGGTCTAGGAAGGATCCCCTGACAGGACAGTCTGAGTTTCAACCAGTTGAACCTGTGTGGTCTTTGGAAATTGCTAAGTCTTTCTGAACCAGAGTTCCTCCCTGTTGAAGCAATGACACTAACATCCACTCCCCAGGCAGGGCTGTTAGGAAAATCAGTTAACTCTGACCAGGCAGCAGGGTCCTACACACACCATAGTTCCAAATAAATGTCCTGCTCACTGCTGCCTTCTCACAAGCACCCACCACCATCACTCCTAACACACACATACACACATACACACACACCACATGCACGCACACACGCACGCACACACTCCCATCATACCAAGTTAGAAATCTATCTCTGGAGAGTAAAAGCGAATGTGTCTGCCACAGAGGCAGGTGGGGCTGATGGGGTGGGGGGTGGCAGAAGGGATCCTGGGAACATTGGTGGTGGAGAATGGGCACTGATGGATGGATGGGCACTCGGTCATTGTATGACTGAAACATAATCACAAAACTTTGTAGGTCTGTAACTGTACTTTATGGTGATTCATTAAAAAATTAAAAGTAAAATAAAATAAATTTAAAAATTTTAAAAAAATAAATTATAAAAAGAAATCTCTCTGTGGCTCAAGGCAGCTGCCAAATTCAAAGATGATGCATATTGACGATGCATGTGGACACATACTGAGGAGTTTCATTTTATGGGGGTGGGTGGGAAGGCCTCTGGAGTGGTGCCCAGGAGTCTTAGAGAACCCAAACACACACACACACACACACACACACACACACACACACACACACATGGCCCGCAGTCAACCAGACCATTCGTTTCAAGCAAAAGTCTGTGCTGTGGGACTACTTGGCCCTGGGTTGGAACTAATTACCCAGGCCACGGGAATGAGCCTGAAGCCCTGTTCTATTTCTCCAGCCCCAGAGGAAGGGTCTACAGCTCCGGATTCAGGGACCGAAGTGAAATGATGGATGTGAACTGGCTGGCATCCCACTTCCTCCCTTCTCTCTAAGCACCACCAGGATGAGAGAAGAATATGAGGGACAATGCGGATGTGTTACTTCCAAAAAGCAATTCCAACTTCAATCTGGGGGCAAGAGAGAAGGGTTTTTAAAAATTATTATTATTGAATCACCATGAGATACAGTTACAAAAATTTCATGTTTGAGTTTCAGCCATACAATGATCGAAGTCCCATCCCTCCACCAGTGCACATTCTCCACCACCAATGTTCCCAGTAAACCCCTCTCTTTTCATCCCTCCCCCTGCCTCTAAGGCAGAAAATTTCCCCCATACTTTCTCTCTGCTTTTGGGCATTATGGCTCACAATATAGATACTGAGAGGTTATCACGTTTGGTCCTTTATCTACTTTCATAACACATCTCCATCCCGAGTGACCCCTCCAATCATCCTTGACTTAGAGATCCCTTCACAAGAGAGAAGGTTTAGGAAGCCTGTCAGACATTGGTGGAGGGATGAGTGTTGGAATATTGTCAGCCTGAGCATCTTTGTAACTTCATAATTCACAGCGATCCAATAAAGAAAAAGAAAAAGAATTCTATTAGAAAAACTGGGCACTGGACCTATAATAAAATGTGCCTTGCCCATGACCAACCCCAGTGCAAACTCTTGCACCACAAAACATTCCCCCAAATGCTGCCAGGAGTGATCTCTGAGCACACAGCCACAAAGTTATAAGCCTTGAGCATAGCCAAGTGTGAGCCAAAACACAAAACAAAACAAAACTGACAACATCTTTCATATTTGTTGTTGTGATGACAAGGGGTCACACCCTTTCTTTGTGGTGCACTAAAGATGACACTCTGTCATGACACTGGGGATTGCCACCTGCAAAGTCACATGATCACATGAACTTGGCATGTGGGATGTTGCACCATAAGGCAGGTGCTTCAGGTGGGGAGGGGGGAGGGTCACGATAGACTTGGCCCAGGGGGCAGGAGGGAGGGTGTAGCATATATAAGCACATAGGGTTTAGGTTCATTTATTTTCTAACAATTATTTTCAAAAAGAATATCTTGGGGGTTGCTAGGGGAAAAGGGAGCTCAGATAGAGAAGGGAACACCAAATAAAGGGTGTTGGGAGGATCCTCCCAGGATGGGAGAAGCAGGCTGAAAGTAGACTATAGACCAAACATGATTGCCACTCAATGACTCTTTTTCAAACCACAGCACCCAAAAAGAGAGAGAGAACAAAAGGGAATGCCCTGCCACAGAGGCAGGGTGGGATGGGGGGATGGGGGTGGGAGGGATACTGGGATCCGTGGTGGTGGGAAATGGGCACTGACGGAGAGATGGGTATTTGATCATTGTATAATCGAAACCCAAGCACAAAAATTTTAAGTCTACAACTGTACCTCATGGTGTCTCACTAATAAAATTTTTTTTTAATTTTAAAAAAAGAATATCTTGGGGGAGAGGGGGGTCGTAGCACACCAAGCAGTGCTCAGGATTTGCTCTCAGCTCTGTACTCAGGGATCATTCCTGGCAGGATCGGGGTACCATATCGGGTATCTGGGATCAAAGCCGGGTATGCCACATGCAGGGCCAACGCACTATTCACTATACTATCTCACTGGCCCTCAAATAAATATTTCTTACAGGGGAAAAAATTAGTGTCCAACCGTCTTCCTCTATTAGGGCACCCTCTCTCTAAACTCTGCCCCCTCTGGAAACTCAATATTCAGCCAAATGTCTGAATCAGGTTTTCTGTTCCTATCCACTGAAATTTTCTGTAATGAAATATATGCCTGGTTGAAAAGGTTGCTTGACAGATGAAAACAAATATAAACTGAACCAACTCTACTGCATACACGGCAGATATTGGTGATTCATTGTTTTACCCTCTGGCAAAAATGCAAAAAAACATATATATGATGTAATTCAGAGAATTGACACCAGAGGGCAGCACTAGACAAGCAGACACCTGCAGACGCGGGAGAACAGTTCTTGCACCTCCTAGAACAGAAGGAAGTCGGGTCCCCGGGCGCATACAAACATCCGGCTGCTGAGAGATTAAACGAGGTTGAAAGACGTTTTAAAAATCATATTTGAGATATATATATCATTACATATTGACTTGGAAGTTAAAACCTGACATGCCACTTTGTTTTCCAGTAATGAATTCTGAGCTTCAGTCCATGTGTTAATGACAAAAATGAGAACCCATTTGACCTGAATATTTCGATTAAAATTCTTGGAGAAGTGAAGAAAGAAGGAACTCGGGACAGTAAATATCTAGGTGTTCTTTTTCATTCAGATCATCAAAGAAGGGTCCCCAAGATAGAATAAGTGTTGGTTCAGGCTTTGCTTGCGCTAGATCCACTTCCATCTGATCCCCACATGGTCCCCAGAACATCTAAGCATCTCT